CATATTTATATACCTAATATATAATATCTACTTAGCCATTAATAGTTCCTTTGGGTAATAGTAACATTAAAAAATATGGGACCAATAATGCAGTTGGTTCTATCAGATATAAAATATATTTCCATATATATATATTTTTTTAAAGTTGATACTTGTTTATTTTAGTTATATTAAACAGTTCTGATGCTATTATTTTCTTTTAATAAAAAATTCTGTTGTTTAGTGCTTCAGGAATTATTTACTAATAAAGAATTTCATATGAAAGCTGTAGATGTAATCGTATAAATAGGAGTATTGCTTTGTCTCGTGGAGGCCCTGTGGTTTGGCCTGCAGACTGAAAGCTCTTCCTACTTAGTGCATCTCACATTTCTTTCTTTCAGCACAATTGAAAGGTCAGTATTTATACTACACCAATTTACTGAATTTTGATGACATGCAGAATACCTTCTGTGATATTAGTTGCCATAAGAGCTAGGCAGGCTCTGATAGTATGACTTGATCTTTTTTTTTTTAAACTCTAAAATTAGAACTTCCTAAGTTTTACTTTGAAACAGATTTAAAGTCAATTTAGATGACTATTTATTATGTAGTGTGCTCCTTGCAGTCAAAAAAGTTGTACCCATTAGTTTTAAATTTCCAAACTAATTTCTGCTATAAATGAATGATTTTTTTCAAAAGCTCTGCAAGTAGCTAGTTTCTTAGTAGATAGTCTGGTGTTATGCTCATCTTTATTTCCTTATCTGTCTCTAGAAAATTTCATCATTCACCCTTTTTCTACCCAGTTTTTTAAAATATACAGAAATTATGCCCAGAAATAATGTCTTTATTACATTTTTAATATAAATTCCTTTTTCATTTACAGGTATTTATTCTACCTTGATTATAATTCAAAAATATAAGAAACTACATTCTTGGTACTGCTTGGTGTCGACTGTAGTATTATCAAGTTCATTTTCTTAAAGCTTAAACTCTTGAAGTTCTAGCACCTATAACTTCCTTTTTAAAAAGCTGGTTTAAATAAAACACTTAAGGCAGTTAGTGCAAAACTTCCTTATTATAGGCAGTTGGTTCAATTTTAATTTGGTGCTAACAGGTTTTAGCTTGAGTCTTATCATTTGTTGCCATCAAATTTTCTAATAGTTTATTCACCTGATTAGAAATTGCCATGTCTTGCATGTATGCTTTTGGTTACTAGTAAATAAAAAGTGATACTGGTTCAGTTTGATTCCATCACCCTTCTAAGAAAAAATGACTCCTAAACTACAGAAACTTGGATTCTTGTCCTGTTTTTGTCATGTTTTGGCACAGCACCTCATCTCTTGGGGCCTCATTTATTTATTCAGTGACTACTTCTTGAATATCTCCTTTGTGCCTGGCGGTGTTCTAAGCGCTAGAAAAGTGGACTGAAATCTCTGCCCTCACAGAACTGACATTTTAGTGGTAAAAGACAGACAATATAAAGTAAATAAAATACATAGTATGTTAGATAGTGGTCAATACCATGGAGAAAAGTAAAGCAGGGAGGTGGGATAAGGAGAATTGGGTGGGAGTTTGGAGGCTGCCGTTTAAAATTTGGTAATCAGGGGAAGACTCACTGAGAGATGACGTTAGAGGGAAGACCTGAGGAAGAACTGCAAGGAGACTGGTTTGGCCACAAATGAGTGATGAGGAGGAGGAGCGGTTGGAGATGGGACCTGCAGGGTGATGTGGGCCGTGTGTATAGGACCTTACAGACCATTCATTGTAGGGAATGTGGCTTTTACCTTGAGATAAGAAGCCGTTAGAGGATTTTGAATAGAGGAGTGTTTTATACCTCAATAAAACCCACAATCAATAAAAACCTTGAAATACAGGAGAGGTTCTGTATTTACCCTAGCTGCTATTTTAGGAATAAACTATAGAAGACCTTTATGAGTTTAGGGGGGGGTATTCTAGGGTATAAATATCATTTAACTTTTGAAATGTCATGGGAATGAATACAAGTAAAACTGGAGAAAATTGAATAAAATTGGTGTATTTTCTCACTGTGAACATCCTGCTTATACTTTTGTGTTATGATTTTGTACTAAGACATTATTGAGGAAACTGGACAAAGAGTGCATGGAATCTGTCTGTATTATTTCTTACAATTGCATGTGGATAGACAAATATCCCCCAAATTAAAATTCAGTGAAAAAAGTCATGGGGCTCTATGAGATCACCAAAAGGCACAGTAGAGAGAGAGAGTCAGGGCAAGGTCCACAGGCTGAGCTCTGGGGAATCTGACCATAAAAGGTTAGGGAGATGAGAAGAAATTGGTAAAGGAAACGGAGAAGGAGTGGCCAGTGATATGGGAGGAAGACCAGGGGAGCGGTGGTGTCCTTGGCACCTTAGTTACCCTGTTTGTAAAATGTGAGTGCTGACTTATTCTGGAGTTCTGGGATTCTGTTATTCCTTATTGGTTATACTTACATGCCATAATTCGTAACATGTTCTTATGACAAGATGAATTTAGGGTGCCACAATCCTTATCCCCAGTAGCAGAAACAGGGGCTCTTTGACCTTGAGAAAAATGTTCACATTATTCCTCAGCACATTTAACTATTTCATATACTCTCATGAAAGTAGTTCTCTTACCCTTCTGTTAAAGAAGGTAACTAGGTTAGCTTTCCGCAAACTCAGTACTGTAGAACTAATGTCCGTAATTTATAAGTTGGGGGAGAATGTTTCCATGGCTGGATAAATTTAGGCAATGCAAGTTTAAGTTAAATTGGTTCTTTAATGTGGGATTTTTCATGCTGTATGTGGTTTGTGAATGTCTAAGAGAATATTTGACCTTAGATTTTTTTTTCTTTGAATAATTAAGAACTTCTTAATCTCCACAGAATAGTGTGTAGAATACTGATCTGGAGTAATCCTTCTTCAGATTTTATGAACTGGGAAATGAAAAGTAATTGGGTAAGATTTTGCCTAAGATGGATTCCTAGACATTTCATTTATATTTATTAATCATTTGTAAGGTGGAATTTACAACTAGATGCTAGAAGTGTCCATTTTATTATTTTTAGAAATTACAAGATACCCTTATTATTATGTTTGTAAAAATCTAATAAATGCATAACAGGGAAAGACAAGTTACTAGCTTATCCTGCCTCGGATTATAGCAGCAAGGGATTTTTTGTTTTTGTTATTGGAGGGTATGGTTACTTTACATGATTTCACCCTAAGAAGCTTAAAAATCTCTCATTTATTTCTAGCTTCTCTCTGTAACTCCTTATGCTTAGCTTATCAGTCTACCCACTTACCTACTTTTCTTGAGACTATTACTATTTTCAGCCTTTTGTTATCTGTTAAGGTGTTTTCTATAAGTCTTACTTTCCACTTAAACAGCTTCAGGAGGAGGTCCTCTTTGATCCTAAGATTAGGAGGTTGAGCCAGATTATTTTAAACCCTCTCAGACCCTTAAAGGTACAATGTGGTAAGTGGTTAAAGAGCACAGGGTCTGCAGTTGATGGCCTAGTTTGGAGTTCCTACCGTGCTGTTTACTAAAATGTGTGTGGCATGGGTAGGGTACCAGACTTCTGTGCCTCATTCCTCACTTGTATAACACAGAGAAACAACAGTACCTGCTCATGAGGTGCAGAGATAATTAAATGAGTCAGTGTACGTATATAGTACTTAAAAAGTGATTGGC